GTCTTTTTCAGTGCAACCCCCTTATTGCATGAAATGGGAAGCAGAAAGCAAACCAACCATTTCGTGGTGCCTGCAATTTTCGGACAACCCCGCCTTTTCTGAACATGGAAACTCCGGGGGTCCCTTGCTTGGCAACCTAGCAAGTACCTTTTGAGGATGTAAGCCAAAGCGTGGGACATCCTCCTTACCACCTACTTGGACCCTCCAGGAAGGGCACCTCTCACTGAGGAACTTGTTCTATTTCATTGGGGGTCTTCTTCCCACCGTAGCTTGTTTATTGAGAAACCTACAAGACACACCATCAATCCTCAACCTGCCCCGGCGCCTGTCTGGAAATCAGTCATCTGCACTGCCCAAGGGTGACTTCAACATCCCGAATTGGTTGGTTATGGTTGGTTGGTGGCTTTAGTCTTGGTCTAGGGGGCTAGGTTGGTTTGGGGATGGTTTAGGGTTTGTTGTTCAGGGTTGGTTTAGGGTGGTTTAGGGACGGTTTATTGTCGGTTTAGGGTTGGGGTGTTTCATGTTGGAGAAAAGAGTTCACAACTTTGTTGACTTCCGTGATTGGCATGACCTCAGGGACCTGAATCACCCAGCCAAAACCCTCAGCAAACACCCAACACAGACCCTTGAAATCAGATACCTTGCCCAACATAGACCTCAAAAGCCCCCCCAGGCAAGGCCTTAGACACGAACGGCTTTGGGTGGGGGGCGGGGGTTGCAAGCAATACCAGAACGAGCACACGGGCATCCCAACGAAATGGTTGTGAAGAGAAACTGAAGGAAGAGACCCCACAAGAATAAGGGTTAGCGGCTGAAGCCTGCTTGCGTGCTTGGCACGGTACAGTAAAATTGCCTGAAGAGCAATGTTTTGCTCCACAAGAGGGGCTTGTGACTATCCCATTCCGAGCGTTGCATCCAGTAGAAATGAAACAGTGATGCAGCTAACCGGAAAGCCCAATTTAGACCAACATCCCGCCAGCCAACATCCCTAGCAGCACCAGTCCGCATCCCCTGCATCTGCAGTATGCAATGGCATCCGCAGCGGCACCTACCTCATCTGCAATAGGCATGCGTCATTGTTGCACGAAAAACCCTCTGCAGATTCTACTCTGCACCTTGCCCCCCCACAGCAACCGCTTGAAATGTTGAACCCAAAGGTCGCTTTACACACACACACAAAACAAAAAACGAGGTAAAAGACAGCCCTTCATCGCACAAAAACAAAAAGACGAAAAAAACAAAGCCGCGATGTGTGCCTCTGTGGAGATGGCGGAGACGCAGGAGCTGCGGGTGGCCACCACCTCAGATTTCATCGGGGGGAGGGGGGGGAGGGGGGTGGGGTACCCTCAATAAAACCATGAAAAGCCGGTCATGAGTCATGATGACATGATGTTGGCAATTCTTCAGGTGTTTTTAGCAAAGTAAAGCAAAGTTACAGCTAAATTAGATTTGGTATAGCCTAAACAAACCAGTTAAAGTAAAGTAAATGAAGTCATGATGTCAGCAAATACCTAGAAAGTTCTGCCATCGATGGATGCCCGCCCCGCCTGAGATGCCCTTAAGGCCTAGAGGACACTAAGGTCATGGACCATCTCATAGAGACCCCCCCCTAAGGGTGGGGCCATGGTTGTGGAAAATGCAAGACAGTATCTTATGTGATACCAAAGCGGCTCCAGTCTCATGTAACTGCGACCACCAAAACACAGTACTGCGCCCGCGCAGACATATATATATATATATATATTTATAAACGCACACACACACACAGCTCCGAACTGTCTTCCATCTTAGTTTTCCCCAAAGGAGTGTTTGGGGGTAAAGGGGTGTTGCCGTTGCCGCTCCCCTGGTGGGAAAAGAAGGCCAACTCCTTGGTGTTCACTTTAGTGGAAAAAAGCGCCACTAAACTGAGATGCTAAAACTATACAAGCCACTTGGTAACCGGGAGGTCTCTTTTTTTCTGTTGTCGTCCTTTGCTAATCTGTCCGGGGTTGGTTTGGGGGGAAACCGACCCTTTTCTCAGCCAGACCAGGACACCCTGCTTCGCTGGTTGAAAGAGAACATGCAAAAGGCAAACAGTTCAAAAGGCAAGATCTAAGCTTGACAGTGGTTTATCTGACCATATCCTATTTGAAGACATATCCCATGTAGTTCCATATCCCTTTTGGGTCCGTATCCCGCATGCCACATCCCGTGTTTGCACACCTAAAAAAAGCGCTGGGCAAACGCTGCACTCAGCCAGCTGCCCTCGTCTCCACGGGCTCCTGCTCCTGATGGCACCCAGCTTGGCCAACTGTCGAATCTAAGATGGCCGTGGGTCAAAACCAATGGGATCCCATATTTTGGGAAAGGTGAATTCACCACCCATGTTAGAACCTATTTTAGTGGGGATTGGGATGTTCACTGGGGGTACGGGATTTTGACCCATGGCCAGATGGCTGGCCATGGGCCACAATTATGGCCCACATGTTGGATGGCTGCAAAACAGCCATGTTATCAGCCTGATGCTGTCTGCTGAGATTTGACTGCACTGCACGAAATGCAATGCCTGACATGTGACATGTGACTTGCGCCTGACATAGGTGTGACATGTGAATTGCGAGCCGGAACGGCTAGGTTGGCACCTTTTACACTGCCACACCTGTGAACCCAAGCTGTGATGAAGCAATTGCGCCCAACAAGCACGGAACGAGAAACACCCACCCACCAACTCCTTCGCCCACAAAGCATAGCTTCCCCAAAACACAGCACATGGAACCTGCCAGACCCCCCACTGGAATTGTCCTGTAGCGGGAACCATCTTGTCAGGCACCGTATCTTGCCAGGGGTCACGAGTGACTTGGGTCTTCGACCAACCAGATTCGTGCCCATCTGAGCGAACAATCACCCAGATGCCCAAAGCCGAACTATGATTGCCGAGTGATCCGTGGGACACCTTGTGGTCTAAATTTGCATAGTCCATGACCATCCGTACCCCTTGTGCCTTTGTTTTGCGTGGCTTGCAAAGGGAAGCTACCATTTGCGAGGGTCCAACTCCCAGTGTATGTGCACCCATTTGAGCCACATCATACATGGCGGTGTCTTCTTGCGGTTGTAAACTACACTCTTTGGGGCCGAAAAAACACCTGTATTTGGGGGGGTTAGCCGAAAGACCCTCAACTGAACTGCCTCGGCTTTGCCCAACCAAACATGCGGGTGACAGCGCAAATATTCAGAGAAACAAAAGCAACGTCGCTTCAAAAGACACCCAATCTTCTCCTGTGTGTTTGCCTCCTGCTTGCACAGCTGCGTCAGCACCTTCGCAAGGCACAACTTCTCAAACCCCGGCCGATTCGACTGGTCCCCGATGGATGGTGTTGCAGGGGAAAAGACTAAAGGAAGCCAACAAGTCTATACCGGTACGTGTCAAAACTAGGAAGCACTAACCATGCTTGGTGTCATTTGTTCACAAAACATACGAGACTGGTCAATGACTAGCACCGAACTGAAACCAGGGCCATGTTCAACCAAGCTGACACCAGATGGTAAAGAAAACTGCGGGCCTGTGAAGAGCCACCCGAGTGGGCCACCCTTCGAACATGATACAAAAGCACAGCATAACAATTCACAGCCTGGATACTAAGGAACCACAAAACCTTGATGGAACAGAGGGCCGCTCCAAAGTTGCGAGCCAAAGCGCTTTAGGTCACTACAATTCTGCAATTCTGACACCCTTTCAATGTTACTTTGAACAGGGCGGTCAAAATATGCTAGTACCCCAAAGAGCAAGGGAAGCTTGAACCCCACGGTTTTGCGGGAAAATCTTAAGTGGAACCTCAATATCCCTCCCAAATGGATCCAAATGGATGCCATACTGGCGATTCCGACCGAACCCCGATTGGCAACCAGGCATAAGGCTCGGAAAGCGCAAGCTTTGGCATTCGCAGGGTTGGGCCAATCTTTTGCCCAAACCATGGTTAAGTTAAAGCCACCCTTGTTCTGTAGAGTGAATCATCCTTCGGATGTGTTGCCACCCTTGTTAGAACCATGGTTTTGCAAAGCTTTTGGTCTTGGTTTCCCAAGCCAAAGGGGAGCCTTCCGGTCTGGTTATTGAAGTTTGAGTGGCCCAAAACACAAGTAGCCAGACGTTCTTGCCACGAAAACGGCCTTTAAAGGTACCTCTCCGGAGCTCAGTGAGACCAATTGGGTCGCCGCGCCCAGGCGGAGTCGGCCAAGCTGGGCTTCTCCCCTGGCCGATCGGCGCGCCCTTTTCGGAGCTCGGAAGCGCCCCCCCCAACGTGGCCCCACTCACAAGGCCCGGCGCTCTTCAGCGCTCAGGTCCGGTCCCCATTTTCCTTCGGCCTGCACGTGGGCGCAGTGCTTGTGGGCAAGCCGTACGATGGTACTCTTGCCGGGTCGTAAACCACAAAGAGCAGATCTACGCAAGTCAGCATAACAAGCAACTAGGTGCCAAATCATGAGGTCCATCACATCTGGCAGCTTCCTTTGAAGCATGCCATTTAGCACCTATCTGATCAAGCTAAGAGACCGAAAGTGAACTCTGCGGTACGCGAAACTAGTACCACGAATGGCAGCCCTCGCTTTGCGCGAGGGAACTCGCCAAGATAAGCCATTGTGGCATGAATTCGCACACGGGTTGGACATTGTAATGTGCGCTGGCAGCATTCACCAGCCAACAAAGCTGGCTAACACTCCATCTCTTCTGGCTGAAAGCAACTCCGGAGTGCATGGGCTCATGAGGCAGAATTGGTCCATTGGTTGCCCTTTGGCTCCCGTCGCCCTCCACTTGCATCCTCTCTCCAACAACATTTGGCTGTGGGTCAGAAATGGGTACCCAAAATGTAACCCTGGTAAATGGAACCCATGACTAAAACCTGCCGTCCCCTGGTGGTTTAATTTTGACCCACACCCATTTCACTGCTCAATCAATTCAGCGGAACTGCCGCCACCAGCCCGCCTAAGACGCGGGGGATTCCCCGCGGCGAGCTTTTCTTCCATCCGCGTCAAATCAAAACCGTCTTGTTGAACTGCAGCACGCAGGCACCCGGGGCACCAGAATAAAGGCCATAGATGCCTCCCTGGTTGTGAGACCCGCCAGGACCTCCGCCGCCCAGCTGGGGCGGCCATTGCTCCAACCTCGTCTGCCCGAAGAGCTTCCTGACGGCCGGTCGATGTATCTACTGGGCCCGTGTATCTATTCATCCATCCGTCCCTCCGTCCATTTAAGGCCATGGGTGACCATACCCCCGAACATCCAAGCCCCACTAAAATAGGTTCTAGAATGGGTGGTGCACCTACCCCAACATGGTACCATTGGTTTTGACACACAGCCATTTATCTATAGGGCGGTCTAACAATCTACTAAACTACTCATGGTTCTCTTCCTGCCCGCCCCGTGGACATTGGAGACAGTCCAGCGGTGCAGATCTTGGGTTTCAAGGTTCGGGAGGACCATGCATCTCTTTGCCATGTACACCAGTCAGCCCAGGGCAACGAAGAAATGAGAAAACCGCCAGGCACGGCGGGGGGGGGGGGGGAAAACAAAAAACATTCACAAAATCATGAGACCAACAGACAACAACGATCGGTGTTCTAAACTCAAGATGTCATTTCAACAATGGCGCATATCCATGACACATAAAGAAACCAAATAAAGGATACCTGCCACCAGATTTCAAACCAAACCTCCTGTGCAATGGCATTCGGGCTGACGTCCGATTAAATATACAGATTCTTGGACAAAACGCCTAAAACGCTACCAGCACATGAACTAAAGTCTTGAATGAAGAATGTATTTCAGGTCCTACGAAGAAACATGACATGCATTCACCTCATGACCATTTACGTTTTACAGGAAAATCAAAAACGGCATCAATTCAGAGTGCCCCTTTTCAAGTGGTCTTCATTGCGGGTCCCCTAGGTTAAGACACACACACACACATGGAGTTGGAAGATTGCGTGCTGTCTGGCAACTCCCCCCTCAAAAAAAATATTCGGATCCCGTCTAGAACGGTCACCCGCCCAAAAACTCACCGGGTTTCTTCATCGGCCTCGACGTGGGATTCAACTAGCGAGGGCAGCCAGGCTCTGGCAACATGCTTCTGTCCAAAAACCAGTTGGGGGGCTGACTCCACATGTTGACCTGGATCCTTGCTACTTGCTTTTATTGTGCTGATTCTCAGGGAATCAATTTCGGGGTGGGAATGAACCCCTGAAAGGAAGCACAAGGCACGGATCACTTTGGGTCATTTCCTCATGCCCAACTGACCAGCAAGACATTGCCTCACCGTGGTTTTGCTGAGGACACCCTTTCCGTTCTTGCTTCCAAGATAAACCCCGAGCACCCCCTCTATTCTCTGGTTTTTTCTTGGCCTCCCGCGATTTTGTCTTTTTCCCCGGACCAACCGCTTGCCCGAGCTGCTTCGGGTCGATCTCCGGGAATCTCTGCTTCAGGATCTCCAGCGCTTCTGCCGGCCACGGAGGAGCCCCGCCGTTCGGGGTGTTGGCCCAGGAGTTGGCGCCGCCCATCAACGGCGACCTGGCGCCGCTCGTCCGGTGCTGGGGGGAGTGGGTTCCTGGAAGGCATCCAAAAATCGGTTCTTTACAATGGGATGTTCCCTTAACATATTGTAAGATATCGGGCAATTTGGCACCCAGCCCTTTCTCGTGGGTGGTTTAAAGGAAGATCGATTTGCGAGCCCGCCCCCCATCTGGGGGCTTGATCTTTTTCAGCCGAAATACGGTATGCAAAAGCCCGTTTCAACGAGGAGGACCATACTAAGGGCTGGCTCGTTCTACTCGAGGCTACCTTTCAACAGCACTGGTAAAGAATCCAAACGCCGGTCGCGCCCATTTGTTGTCCCCCCTACTAGCCTTCAAAATACGGCCCCCTAAATAAATTGGCAGTTTCTCTTTGAAAACAATCCCTAGAAAGGTACCAGCTACAACAATATGCGACAATGAGTGTGCCCCGGCCCGTGACACGCGGGGTTGACGTTGAGGAGCTTCCCCGGAGCGACCGTGGACAAAAACGTTCGCTGTCCGAACCTCAAGTAAGGATGGGTCAACCGCCTATCTCAACATCTTTAAACCACTGCTCTTTCAACCTTTCCCTACAATCCCTGCAGATTCAGTGAAGCCCATGGTGCTCAAATCCAACATCATCTTCAGAATCACCCTTTGCACAATGGAAAAGCCTTGGGCACCACCACATAGGCGCTCGCTTTGCCTGGTTTCCTCAGGCTGGAACGGGTTGGAATCCTGCATCGGGCTCAGATGGGCGTGGCTCAAAACTGGACAGGAGGGGTTACGCAGGTGTTGGTCCATGTTTTACCAGGGTTCCATTTTGGCACCGGATTCTTGAGCCACAGCCAGTTCAGGCGTGACGCCCCCCTTCTGCTCCCGCCTGGGCTGTCCAGGCCGGCCGGCGAAGGTCTGCGATTGGAGCAGCTGCACTGGGCCGCTGCCCCTGGCCCGGCCCGGCCCGATCACGTCCTTCGAGCGCGGCGTCTCAAAAGAAGGGCCCTTTAAAGCCTTGCTCAGACATGGTTGCCTTGGGGTCTTTGAAGCAGCTTCCTTTCTCCCTCTTGAAATCCCAAGATCACCCCCAACTCACCCAAACATGGAGGAATTGGATTCGATCCGCTTGGCGGGGCTGCGTCGTGGCCATTTGGGTCCCCCTTCTTCTTGTAAAAAACACGCACAAAAACGGCTTGCGTGGGAATCGGTTTGGGGCGCTCAGGGTTGCGTCCCATCTTGCAACAGAGAACCTCTCCTGCAGGCCGCCGCCGCCGGCCTCCACCAGCAGCGCCTGCTCCGATACCTCCTGTCAGGTTGGCAAAACCGGGGGGTAGGGTGTCTGTGTCTGTGTGTGTGTGTGCTTTTTGTCCACGCCGGCCGCCACGCCCTTGATCAAGAGATCATCTTGTCTGGGGAGCAGCGTGCTCTGCGCCGCCTCACTGACTCACAGAGAGGCGCGCTATCAAGGTGAGCAATGATCTCTGCCGCCCTTTTACATAGCGCGTGGACAGGACACACTCGCCACACTGCTGCTGCCGCGTGCGAGTGACGGAGAGCGAGATTTGCGCGTGTCCACGCCACGCCCTCTTCTGCCTTGCAGCCTTGCGGCCTTTTTTGGTGACCGGACGGTGTTGCATCCCGCACCAAACCCGCGACCCCCCAGTTTTGCCCCACGCCCTTTCCGGAAAAAATGCCCCGCGACCCCTCCCCGCCTCGAGGTACAGCGCGGTGCTGGGCGCCGGGCTGAGATCTGTGGCCCGTGAGGGGTCCAGGTGCAAGCCCAGCACCGCCACCAGCGTGCGGCCCCAGGCATCCGAGCCCAAGCCTCGGGAGCTTCGGGTGTGGGTATTCTGTCTGGGGGGTTGGGAGGGGTGGTCTTTGGAAACCCAAGAAGAACGCTTTGTGAAGACATTGTGTCCCCAAGATGACAAAAGGAAAGTTGGCTCGGCCGGGTTTGTGGGGCACTCGGGCTCCTGATGTTGACCCCGGAACCAACCTGTGCGTCCCCCAAAAGTCGGCCGGATCTCCTCTACACCTCCAACTCCATCGTCCTTTCGAGAACGCGCTCATTTTCCCTGAAAACAATTGGCATCAAAATGAGGGATTGCCAAAAAGGGGATGAAGGGGTCATGTATCTTTAGCTGAAAAGGGTATCCAAAAAGTTGGATCATGTGCAAGTCAACCAGTTGTCATTACCTCAGGTGCCCTGTTTTGGACTACTTAGAAACAGCAACGAAAAACGAGAGTTCCCTCTTTTGACACAAAACCAAAGTATGTTCCCCAGCCGAATTCTTGGACCCCTCAAAGCACGATGATCGCACCGACAGAGATCCAAACCCTTCCAACAGAAAAGGGGGTTCCCATGATGGGATGTAAAACAACTTGTCGCATTACTCAGACGGGGGGGGTCAATGATGAACTGTAAAAACATGTCGCACTGCATTCCCTCCGATGCCCAGTGGCCATGAGGAAAAAAGGGTATCTTTTTGGTTGGTCGAGTTTGAAGGGGAACCCTTCACACAACAAGAAAAAGAAGGCGCCACTGGGCAGCTGGTTACCCAAACAAACCCTGAAACTGCAACAAAAAAGCTATTATCATTATCATTATCATCATTATTATCATCATTATCATTGTTATGATTACGCCATTAGTTGTTTTTTTGAAAGTTGATGTGTACATTCTGAGCAGCTCTTTGTTCGTTCTTTTGGCGACCTAAAGGGGACCGAGAGATCCCAGTCTGCCGGGCCGCTGAAGTTCGCCTCCACCACGGTGCCCGAGGCCCCGGCCGCCCCGTTGTAGTCCCCTTCCCTGGGGATGGCCCGTTGTCACCATATGGGTATGGTTCAAAAAACCAGCCACCAGCAAACCACTGGTTTTAGTCATTGCTTCCATCTAGGGTTCCATTTTGGGTACCTATGTTTGACCCACGCCCATATGTTGAGCCAGGATTGAAGTGTTTAAAGCATCGGAAAGTCGGAAGGAGGGTCAAGCCAACTTGTTTGAGTTCAAATCTGTCTGGTGTCCCACCAAACTTGGAGTTCAAATATGTTTGGTTTGCCACCAAACTCTTTTAGACAACCGGGCCCAACTCTTGAAGCAACTCTTGGAACCAGACGTTAACGGAACCAGGTTGTTCAAACAGCCCCGCCTGTAGGCACGGCCCCGGGCCCCGCGGCCGCCGGGCCCACCACAGGTGGCACGCAGCGCTGAAACGCCCACAGGCACCAGGATCTGGGCAAGCATCTGGGACGCCCCAAAAGGAACAAAGGAACATGTTTCCAAGGCAGACAAAAGGCCGCCAACAGTTTGTAGGGCGGCAATTCCTTTGAGAAACCTTCCAACATCGGGAAGCTTATTCTGAGAAACGAACCTTATTGCCTATTGAGCTTGGCTTCCAGGAAATCGAGAGGGAAACCACAATCCCGCAGGTCCGAAGAGGACACAGTCTCATCTTCCAAAAGGCGGGCCACCTTTCTTGTCTCAAAATAAGGGTCCATTGTTGGATGGTTTTGAGAGCAAACCAAAAGAAAACCGATCACCTGAAGAAGTCCCTCATTCTGAGACTGCCTTGATTGTCTTTGGCATGTGGGGCTGTCTGTCCTTTGCGGTGCCTGTTTGGTGGCCAAGAAAAAACACAAAAACATCATTTTCGTGTGGGGGAGGGAGCCCCCTACCCATGATACCGCCAGAATCCCACATTTATTTGTGGCCCTACAATTGAATCAGAGTCCTGCCGCTGACATGCCAGCTCTAGATTTAGTTCACTTTCCAGCAGAGAGCTGCGATCTTCCCAAAGCAAGGCCTTGAACTTGGGCAACTCGGGCAAAATCTCGGCGTCAGCGCTGTAAGGTACCGCCCAGGCCGAGGTCCAGTGCTCCTATGAAAATGAGCCCCAGACAAAAAGCTGCGAAGGTTTCCTCAACAAAACGTTTGGGAAGCTGGGGGCCTCAACGTCCCTTGCGAACCCTATACACCAGGCAAGCTCAAAGCACAGAGTAGTCAAAGAAAGCAAACCCAGGACACACTCTGACTGCACATAGCCTCCTGGGTTTTGTGGGAAATTTTGGGCGGGGACCCCGTGTCTTCCCAAACATAGCAATGGACTACCAGTGTTTTTTGTCAGTTGCTCACATGAGTGTGGTTGCTCTTTGTCGGTTTCTCCCCTATTCCTTGCGGGTTGTGTTGAAACAAAAGCACTCGGCTTCGGGGCTTTCTTATTTGACTGGCAAATCTTTGCACCCCATAGCCCACACATTAAGGGAAACCCTTTGGGGAGTCCCCGAACAGTCCAGGAATGGGTACTCTTTGGGCTGCACGTATGCCGCAAGATTCCTTTTGTCTTGGAAAGGGTCTGGAAGGGTTTTGAGCAGCTTCCTGGGTGGGTAGGGATGAGTGCAGTTGTACCTTCTGGCTACGCTTGAAACGGGGGGTCCCTCTATCTTCCCAGAAAAACTCCCTGAGGAAAATCAAAATACAACTCAACGCAACCGGGTGGATGGCTGACCGGCTTTATTCCCTTCATGTTGGTTTGTGTTGAAACCAAACTTGGCTGAAATTGTGCTATCTACGTTTACCCCCGTTGACCGTCGGTTCCAAGGCCATGAAACCTAGGAACCGAACCTGCCAGCATGGTTCCAACTTGAATCAGTCGCTGCTCAACCGCACCTGTCTCTCGAGAGGCCACCCTTTCCCACTTCGCTCTCTTTCTGCTCCTCGGATGCCCCGAGTTCGCAAGGCGACAGCGGCACCGGCCCCAGCGAGCCCGACCAATTCAGGACGTCCGCAGGGTCGCCCAGATCGCCCAAGCTGAGGTTGGCGCTCACGTTCTCCAGGCTCATGTACCTCAAGCTTCCTTTATAGGACTGGGGTCATTATTTTGACGGTTTCTGGGGGTTATCAAAGTCAGAAATGTGGTTGTTCCCCTTTAACCCACCACTTAGGGGGTGACTTTGATCATGGTAATATAATGAGGCCAGTAGGAGTAGGAGGCAACCTTTGTTTTCTCTACCTCTTGCTTTTAGCTTAAATGGTTTCCTCTAGAAGCACTGGGCCCTAACAGGGGTCACGCAACTGCATATGATATGGGGTGCATAAGGTGCACGGGATAATATGACTGCTCTGCCTTTGACCGAAAAACATGGGCGTACGGTGTTTTGTTCAACCAAATTCTGAGCAAATATGGGGAACATACGGGTCAATTACATAAATGATACGGGCAAAAATAGCCAAATAGGGGGGGGGGGGGGTTGACCGCAAAAAGGCCATGCGGGGTGTTAGGTGGCTTTTAAAGGAAATAGGTGGTACTGGTAAACAATTGGGGCCAACAACTAGAACCTACACTTAATCTATTCTCAACCAAACTGTCCCAAAAAGGACACCTATGCTTTCCTGGACCTGCGATTGCTAATGAAAAGGCAGTTCCCCCACCCAGCTTTTCAAACACGGTGTAAAGCACGGTGTCAACTGAGTGTTGGTGTTAGGGCTCCCGCGACCAATTTTAACCAAACCTGACCTGTTTGCCTGGCGAGCCGAACTTCAAAATCAAACCAATGCATCTCCCTGTCCGAATCTAAGGCTGACCAAATGCCATGGATCCACGAACAAATCCTAAAACCCCCAACCCAAGAGTGGCCAATCTTGGAATGTGGGGATTCTCCCGGGATGCAACAACCATCTTGTGGCCAGGGAAAACGACACGAAAAGGGAAACGGTACCCTCAAACCAAAACACACAGTCCCGGCGCACCCAAAATCCACGACTTTTCAAGACTCAGGCACAAATCCTCCTCAGCAATGTCCGACAGGTTGGCATCATAGAGGTCCCTCCAAAAGCTTTCCGATTCCAAATCCGATGTGCTCACAGAACCGTTGAAGAAGCTCTCCTTCGTAAAGTCCGGCAAGCTGCACGCGGGCCGAATGCTGGAACATGAGTCGAACTGCACCAGCACACTGCGATAGCTGTCGCTGCTGTGCCAGCTGAAGCCATCCCAGCCTTCGAAGCATTCCACTTCCCTGCCGCGGGGATAAATCTGCATCTGCCCCGAGGCAGCAAAGTGCACTGCCACCTCAGACACGAATTTCGCATCGGATTGGACACACCTGGGGCTTCTAGCCAGGCAAAAACGGAATCTGGCCAGACAATTGACAAATCGGACCAAGGTCCATGAACTACTTGAAAGGCAAACCTAAATGAGTCGCGTTCGAACGCTCTGGCATGAGCATGCGCTAGCATGCCCTGACGACACCTTGGTCTGCAATATGTGCGTTGTTTCGCTGTTGGACCTCATTTGAGGTTTGTTTAAAGGAACCAGACACAAATGGATGGGGCACATTCCACTGTGCCCACATATTACCAGATTCTAAAACCTGGACACAGAAACGTAGACAACTTCAGAATTGCCAGGGTTCTTGTGGCTCGCGACGCCCCCTATGCTGGGGGTACAACTTTTGCCACTCCATAGTGTTCTCAAAAGGATTGAACCCCTAAAATGGTTGCTGTCCTGTTGGTTTCCCTTTACACCCCCATCTGGTGCGCTCTCATCCATTTGCTTGGAAAGTGTATTTTTGATGGCACCCTTGTTAAGGGTTGTGTTGAAGGGAAGCCAACGGACGACCGAGAAAAACGTCAAAGGACAGCGGAACAACCCCAAATGCAAGCCCCAAAGAAAGGATGAGGCAAATACAATGAGGTTTTTGCTGATGTTTCCTTCTACAGCTCCTTTGCCCATTGTTTCGAAACAGGCAATCCGACGAAACCCGAAACCGACCCGGCGAGTAGGAAACGGGCTTGTCAAGAAAGGGGGGCCCTATAAATGGGCGGTTGACGTTTGGTGTTCCTTTACAGGGGTACCAAACAAAAACACCAAGGGCCCGGGTTCCTTTAAAGGGGGTACCTCGACCGCCATCCGACTTCGGCCAAACCTGCGCCAAGAGGCCGAGGTATGGCGATAGCCCATAAACTTGCAGGGCACCTGCGACAGATTCTGCGCGTCCAACCCCCCCGAGAGCTCTGGTCGTATTTACCCTCTCACGTCAAATTCCCGGATATATCTACCTACATGGACCAGTCAAGGGCACCACCTTCCATTTGCTTAAGCCCCCAACCTACGTGGATTCTGTGGGATTTCCGGTGAACAGGAAGAAATGTGTTCGGCACAGCAAAAGTCCAAGGGCATTCTCCTTCTAGTCTTTAAGGGTGGTTCCCTAGGAGGCTCCTATCTATATGCACGGCTGACCTTTGGTTCCTTTGATTTATGAAGGCTTTGCTATCTTGATGAGCCCGGATAGACAGATATACAACTAAAATGGCCATAAGAGGTTTTGTGCTCTGATCAAATGCGTGTGTTTTGAAGCTTCTCCTCCTGTTCAGATTGAGCAGAAGCCACGAAGGCCCTATGTTGACACATACCCAAATAAGGGACCTTGCAATCAGCCCGCCATTTTTGATCAACTCCTGGATGTCAATCAAAGGATCTCATTTGAATCGCTTCCCCACCTGCGTCACAGGGTCCGGGCCGTTGACCACCCGAAAGGCCCGCACAGCCGCGGCTTCAGCCCTTCGCCAGAAGGCGGAGGCAAAAGGCAGGTTCCCGGCGCGAGGCTGGCCGAAGGTGTACAACCCGACCTTTCGCAGGACACGAACCCCGATTCGGACGGGCTGGCGTCTTTCTTGACCCTTTTTGGGGCCGGGAAGAGAGACCAAAAGGGAACCACCTGTTTGGAGGGTACTCCTATTTGGGGTTGACAAATATGGGCAACTCGACTTGGGGTCCGCTCCTTCTTGTCAGGGTACAGAAGCCTGTCGGCTTCAAGGGCCAAAAGGCGCCATGTCTCAATCGATGAACCAAATGCCCCCAAAAACGGCCATGTGCTTCTCAGCATGTTGAGGCATTCACTTCCCTGCAAAATCAACATGGAATCCAAACGGGTCAGGAGAATGTTTATCTGTGGGCCAGTACTGGGTCAACAACTATGGGAGCCATGTATGTGTGTGTCTTTACGCCGCATTTAAAGTGATTTCTCTCCAAATAACAGAGAGAGAGAGAGAGAGAGTGCCTACTTTGATTTGCCTCTCACACAACCCCATTTCAGGGTACCCTCAAAAATCGGCACACCCCTCACTGTCAATTTGAGGGCGTCTCACCATAGGTGAACCCCGCAAATGGGCGGTTTTCCCCTGGTTTCTCTTGGAAACAACCCCAATTGGTTGCTTGACCTATGGCGATGTTCTCGCCTGAACCTCGGGCCGTAAGATGAAGTGAGTGCCGTTGAGTCTTCCGGACTCCGCCATCAGGAGGAGGTTGGCCAAGTAGATGTGCGCCACAGCTGCGCCCAGTGAGTGACCAGTAATGATCACCTGCGGCAAATACTGGGCTTGAACTATACAGTACATATAACAATTGTACTCTATCTATATATGCTCGTCCCCTTTTGGTTTTCTTTGGGGGGGGGGTGGGGGAAGCAAGCACAAGGGGTTGTTTGGCACCCTGCCTGGCTAATATTTGGATCATGTGCGGCGTGTTGGTCTACAGCGCGGAACAAAAAGTCACCGATCAGCTCTTTGGCCGCAACTCCGAAACCTGTATGCACCATCTCCTCCTCGTTCCACTTCTCCTGAAAAAACCTGGCATCCGTCCAGATATTCCTCAAGCTGGAGGTCCCCCGAAACGCTATCACCAGGCTGCCGTCATCCGCTATCCCGGCAAACGCGAAGACGTCGGTTGAAGGGGAGCGGCCCACTTGCACTTTTGGGCGAAGGCGCATAGATTGAGGGAGGCGCAAACACGCCGAGCACGTCCAGTCCTCAAGATTTGTACCGCACTGTGCTGAATATGCAGCTTCGCTATACAGCCAGGCACGGCCCGCTGTAGACATGTCATAGCCGGTATCGTCTTCAACAGATGTGTTCGATGACGTGTTCGACGCGTCCTCATCCCCAATCTCAACATCTGAACTTGGCTGCTGGCAGCCTTGCAAGTGCAGGCCAAGCCAGAGCAAAAGAGCTGCTACATACATGGGCTCTAGCGCTGGAGGTGTACCAGGACGACCCAAAAGGCTGCAGGATGGGATCCCAGCTTGGACCCTGACACAATCCGTCGAACTGAAACTTTGTGTTTCAGGATTGATCTTGAACCCCAAGGGTCCAAGTCCAAGTGCTCGGCAAGGGTCCAAGTAATCTGCTAGTCCAAGTGCTCCCAGCTATTGGCAATTGTGTCAAGTACAAAATCCCAACTCAGCACAATGTGGAATTTGGACCCCCTAGGTTTGCTTTGTGCGTCTAGGTCCATCAATCTATCTGGGCATGCTCCCAGCTTGCTCAGCGTTGTTCTGCCTCGAAAATCATGGTTGAAAGTTACGGACCTTTGAAGTGGTCTTCCCACAGTATCCCAGAAACAGAAAAACAACTCATCAAAACGTTTGGACTTGGAGGAGAATGAATAGACCCGTCAAGGGCCGTCTCGTTTTGAGGCCAGACACCGGCAATACTGCGAATGTTCCCCAGGGGATTAAGGGACATGAGGGACGCCCCCAATCACTCGTTCGCTGATTCTGCGATCAATTGGTAATGTCTCGCAAAAGGGTGCCCTGAGAATGTCCTTTAAACTCGGTGAAATTGGTACAATCCGAAACCGCCAACTGCCTCCGAAGGCTTCAAAAGGACTGCTGAAGGATAGGGCTTATTATACTATTGGACAAAAGTAGATGGCACGTTTGTCTGTATTTTGCTACGCTTAGGTGATGATGAGTGACCCAAATGGGTTGGAATTGTGTCATCGTCTTTCACCAAACTGTAAACCAGAGCCCCCTCTTTAGCTCACATCTTTCCTGTACTGTCGGTCGATTGCGAATTAACACAACTTGGATAAATTAGAACAGGGTGAATGCCCCTCCGAAGTGAACGGCTTCAACATCACCGCATTGGACATTTGATCCCTGAACAAAACTTCTCAGAGGATTGTTTGAGGATGGTTTGCCCGTTAAACCGTTCGATTCCGGCATTGCGATGGTTGGCGATACCGGTCATACACGAGCAACTGTCCGAAGTGAACTGTTTGCGAAAGGAGCAAAATGTTCTCTTCCGACAGGTTGACCCCAACAACACCCCATCCTTCCCAACCCCCCCCCCCTGACACCCCCAAGCAAGACAACCACCAGTTTACACTTCAAAAGATTGATCCAATCACGCATGGGGGGGGACCCGCAAAATGGTAAGGGTCTCTTCTGGGTACCAAATTGGCGGTCCATACCGATGACTTTTTTTGTTACTTGAAGGAGGACTCTCCGGGCCACTCACAGAAAGCGGCACACCCAAACACCGATTTTGCGTGGTAAGTCGACAAATGGCTTCACACTCAAAAGGTGGCTTTTCAACAACCACATATTTATGGAGTCTCCAAGTCTCCAAACCACCTGCAACACGGAGCAATGTAAGTAATCATTCTTTAGCCCCATTAATAACGGCGTTTGGAGACTCCATCGCTGGATCCACCCCTCCGTGGTTCCTCTCAATATTCGACACATGTGTCAACAATCTTCTTTGGGTATCCATCAGGGGGCCAGACATTAAGCTGCGCGACCAACTCCTTTGGGTTTTTCTCTGGTTCTCTAGACTCGCCTAATTATCCCTGTTCCCAATAGTTCCCAACATCACCTCACCTAGAGGAAACACTCTTTAAGTTGCCCGAAATAGGTGATGCCTAAAACCAAGCAAACGAGGAAATACACAAACCCCTAGGAGGAAGTACTCAAATAAGCTTTGGAGGGAGTCAAAGTACATCTCATCGCATTGGCATCTTTGCCCCATTCATCGGGCTTCCATCCATGCCCACTGGAACAGGAATGTGCCCATCCACAGCATGTCAGTGGTCCCGTGGTCATGGTGTCATGGTTCCCTTAGTAGGAATGGCAATGAAATCTCGGCCAAAAAATTGATCGGAGGAGACCCTCATAAATGGCCGTGGGTCAAAATCCCGCACCCCCACTAAAATAGACCAAAATGGGTGGTGAACCTATCCCAAAATGGGATCCCATTGGTTTTGACAACCAAATGGGAAATGATAGGGAGCCGTGCCAGCATCTGGGTCGATGTCTGTATCGCCTGCGTTCGCCGGGCTGGAGGCACGGGAGGAGGCCGTGGTAGACAGCGCCGAGGAGCCTGGCACCGAAGCGAAGAAATGGCTGTGGTTGTCAAAACCGTTTTGGATCCCATTTTGGTTGGTAGGTGAATTCCCCACCCATTTTGGTCGGGATTGTAGTGGGGATTGAGATGTTCACTGGGGGTACGATTTGGATTTTGACCCACAGCCAAATGGGGATGGAAGGGGGAAAAACCGACACAGCCTCTGGAAGGATTCGTAGAACTTGCCTTTTTCGGTTCGAAGGTGTTCGATAGTGTTCTTGCGGACCCAAACCCACACCTCTTTGCACAATGTTTTCCACGGGGGTCGATCAACGAACTCGGGTTGTGTCAGATTGCATGAACCCAACATGTGGGGGACTCCTCAAAAGGCTCTTTGCTTGAGCTACAGGCAGGGCCTCGGGGGCTCGCCCCCCGCCTTCCCGCGCCGAACGCGCGCGCTCGAAAATGGCGTCCAGCGCCTCGGGGCAAAAGCCAGAGCGCGACAGCTTGCTGGAGCTACCAATTGCCCCTGGTGCATGTTTAGTGGGAAAAACACCAACAAGAGGGGAACAAGGGTGTCACTGGACATGGGGAACAAGGTAGCCAGGGTATCGGGTCTGGGTAGGTTGCACAATAGAGGGATGTAGAGGATACCGGGTGGCAGGGTGGTTTGCCGGGTGGGTGGGGTACATACAGGGTTTTGAACGGCGTTCGGTGTGGGGCTCTCCTTTTAAAGAAAGCCACCGAAAACCCGTGTCTGGAAGTTGGCAGCCTGAATGCTCTGCTACCGGCTTTTGCCCGTCCAAAAGCTCCCGTGCGGGCGGCTTCGTTGAGAATGTCTAGCGCATGGCGAATGGGCTGTGCTCCTTTGTCGGCTGAGTGCGCAGAGCTGCAACGGCGCTTCTCCCTGGTAAGGCGACCTCCCGCAGCAGCGGGGAAGTGGCGGCACTAGCGAGCAGCTTCTCGAACGTCAGGTCGATGTGTTTGCGATCGCAGACGCTGTCACTATCGTCCACCCGTACAGGGAGCTGTACCCAATGCATTGCGGTCATTCTCACTACGGGCGAGGTAGACAATGGGGCTGTTTGCGATTTCGTCTTGGCCAGAGCCAGCGCCACGTCGCTCTCCCGCCAAAACACTGAGGTGGCGATAGTGGCCACGAGACTTGTGCCGCTCTAAGATAGCTTCCACTACCCCCAAATCACGACCAGCAGGGGTTTGGGGAGATACAAACTCTCTCTTGCACCCACTCTGCATGCCTTCCCCTAATGAAATCATTGAGCTAGATGGCACTTGTGCACGAAGGGCTGTTGCCAAGTGGAAATACAGCTCGGCGAAAGTACATTGAGGACTTAACCTTTGGGGTTTCAACACTCCTTTGCGTTGTGACATGTTAAGAGAATACAGTGCGTCATCTACTTGCACTGTGGTGTACTCGGGGCTAAATGATTTCAACCATGATCCTCCCATGATCATGAGGGAATTGTACTTGTTTTATAGGACCCCACAACCCCATTCAAATTCATTGGGCCCTTCTAAGGGCTTCTCGAAAAGCTATCCGAGCTTCTCCAATTCAGGTTACATGGACTCCGGCGCCTTGCGCCGGCAGAAAAGGGACCACATGCTGACGGCTTCCGAAGCCAAAGTAGAGCCAATCAAACATTCGCCTTGTTACGTGGGCTTTCTTGGGCAAGAAGACGGCAAGGACAGCATTGCCAAATCAAAAGGTCGGCGTTGTGGCCCTGCTTTTCCAACCAACCCCGTCTGTTGGCAAGGAAAATCGGTGTGGGTCAAGAAAGCTGGTTGAGGGTGCCCCCCCGAGGTCGGCGTTGGGCCACGGTGGCCCAAAAATCGGCCGAATCTCGCTCGGTGCTGGACGAGTTGCGACCCGGTTTGCCGATGAAAATGTTATGGGCACAACTTCTCGGCCCACATCTGGGGTGCACACATAATACGGTGTTCTGAGTCTCTTTCATGTTGAACCAACCCGAAAATAGAGAATAGTTTTGTAGGAGACTACCCGGACAAAGGGATAAACAAAAGATAGGGGGCTTGATTTCAACCAACCCCAAGCGCCTTGAGAAATGCGTAAACCCTGGGGCATCCTTTATTCAGAAGGTGGGAAGCGGCTCGGGAAACACGTAAACCTAAAAGGGAATCTTTTCATCAGCCAAAGGTGGGCAAAGTGAACCCCAGGGCAACCGCGCACGTGACAAGGGCGAATCCAGCGGCTGCCATGGTCGAAGATGTTTGCGGGAGCACACATCGCCCTTCGCTTCAGATAGGGATCCCCCCCTACCCGTAAATGCAGAAGTACGGGAAAGAGACCTTGGTCGTTAACGCCCTGCAACAAACTCAACTTGCTGCTGATTCAATTTGTAGCTGCTTAGTGGGCAAACAGACACTTTCTAAAGGTCAACGTCCAACTGGGGAAGCACGGGACACCCACCGAAGACTGAGACAAGCCCAACAGGTGCAGGAGCTGAGCCATTTCCCGAACACATGGGCAAAAAAAAAGGGCTTCTTATCTGGTTTTCGTGGGAGATTCATTTCTCTTCGCCCCATGTCACTCCAAGGACATGACCAAACCTCAGCTGAAAGCTGAGCGCGCGACTGACACAGAGCTGCCTTGGCCAGATGTTGAGACGCCTTCTTGAAGCTGGCCACTTGGCTCAGTACGGACCGATTTTGGAACCCTGGTGCCACCCTGTGCCGCCTTTTGAAGAGAATGCCAGAAAGCGTTGCTGGTTTCGACGCAGCCCCAACTCCAGGATACCCTAAAAAGTAGAGAAAGTATTTCTCATTCCATGGTCTACCCAAAAAAACAATAGGCGCTTGGAGGAGACCCCAAGTCAATCTAAATCGTCCATTGTGGTGCAAAGGGAATTGTCGTGAG